ATATTTAGTAATCTGATAAGAAAAAAGAGGAAGCTTTTGCTTCTATCCACGCCACCGCCAACAAACATCCTAAAGGGATTAATAATTTTAGTACAGCAAATTGACAACTCCGATAATAAAGCTTTGATCTTCCACTGATGGTTGTAACATTAACACCTTTGGTAGAAGAGACTGACAACTTTAGTATATAAAGTTTTTTTTTAATACAAAAAAATTTAGATATTTTAATATAAAAAAATTTAGATAAGTTGAATTCAGAGACTTATTAAAACATACTGCAGAGCATGTTTTTAGGCTTAAAAAGTGTTTACAGAGATACTTATAGAGTATTCACCAACAAAGTCCTTATATCAGTATCAGGATTCAAACTTATAGTCTTATAGGTTATGAACGGATTCTTTACTAACTTGATTAATTTTTATTGAAGTTAATAACTAGTAAAGCGTTCTCAGTTAATAACATTAACTTCTTTATTTATATATATATATATATATATATATATAATATTTTGCATATGACACTGAAATCCCAAACACTGTGTGCTTAAATCCAACCCCACCCTCGCCAATATATTGCCTGTTACGCCGGAGTTTATGTGGCTGACTGGCGGCTACAGTGCCAGCCATCATGGGAAGAGATTTTTCTTTTCTTTAAATCAAGATAATACTCTTTTGGCTTTTAATGTAAAACCTAATTAAATAGTTTATGTTGATCATATATGCAAGATCTACTTGACATATTTTTTTTGTCAAACTAACCTTATTGATATTTCGCTAACAATAATCAAATGGAAGAAGAAGGAAGAAAATTAAAAAAAATGCTTAGGGTGCTTGAGGAAAAACATATCATATTAACTAATTTAACTTACATTTTTAATTTATTCAAATTAATTAATTAGGTCTTATATTAATGACTAGAGGAATAATATATACAAACCTATTTATAATTAAAGCCCTATATCAAAACTTATTTACAATTAGAGCCTATAAGATTTCAGACTTGCTCTTCTTATTCTATTTATAAGACACTTCTAGTATATTTTATATAGATAAAAAAAACATTAAATTTTATTAATTTTTATTTAAAATTCAACAATTTTCAACTTTATTCCTATTTAATATACATTATACCTCATGTAAACAAAATTAATAAATAAAGAGTAAAATTGTACATCCATGTAAAAATATCTCCTAGTACCTTATAAATAGAACAAAAAATATTTTCTTTCTTTGCTTTATAAATATGATTATTTCTTGAGGCTTTTTGGCATTAGAATCGTTCTCTGTGCCCCCGTTGCAATTTCCCCCAACAATGGTAGTAACAACAACAATACTAATTTAAGTTTGTAATTTTTAATTTTAATAAAGCTGAGATGTAAGATAAAAGAGTAATAAAATTTAATTAAAAGATTCTAATTCTACTTTTTAAATTTTTTAAATTAAGTTAGTAATTGCGTGTATGCAAAAGTTTTATGATTTTTATGATTTTATCTTATAATTTAAAATTGATGTTTTCGTTTGATTAAAAAATGTAAATTTAATTTATTATTTATTATGGGTGTAAATGCTAATATGAGATATAAAATTGATAATAAATATATCTTACTTGCAAACATGATGGACCATTTGATTCATTTCTCACTAAAAGTTAATTATTTCTTAAATATAACGCAAGCAAAATGGCACATCTTCAGGGAAAGAAGGGCGAATAATCTTGAGAATTCACATTTCCCCTTAAAATTATAAATCGATGCTACTTTTGTGAATGAAACTGACAAGAATAACAATTTTTGGTTGGTGCCAATTTTAAGAAAGCTAATTATTAATAATAAATTGCAGGGAAGGATGTTATAATTAATTAAGGAGGTATGTTCAATGTACTTTAAAAAGCATTCAGATTCAAAGCATTCGCCCCTATAAAATTTTATTTTTCATTTTTTCTGTAATATATCAAAATGACGCCGATTCTAGGATGAGTGGGATCGCTTGGAAGAAATTTAGTCTTAGTTTCACTCTTAAATTAATAGGAAAACATGTTTATCGATATCACAGCAAAAAGAAAAAAGAAAAAACAACTTCGTTTTCGTTGGGAAAAAATCACTTTCTCCCAAGTTTCCATCTTTTGTTTATGTTATATTGTGCGTGAAAAGTGATCCATTGGTCAAAAAAACATAAAATAAGAAAGTGAACCATGTGGCTTGATGCTTGGGAGATTGGATGGGTTAATTAAGGGTGCAAAGGGCACTTTGCGTGCTTAAGAAGCATATCTTAGCTAATTAAGTAACTTGACAACTAAAATATTACTGTAATTTGCAATAAATATCTTTTGAATGTGATCAATTAAATTATAATTTTTTATTACATTAAAAAAATTTTATCTTTTTTTTTTTATATATTTCCAATCATATCTGGTCTCTCTCAGACTTCAGGTTAATTTTCTTGCTTTCTGCAGATCTAGGCAATGCATAATATTTGCCTTTGATGATATAATCAAAAGATCAAACTAACTAATTATAATTCATGTAATTTTTTAGACATATTTTATTTGATTATTTTTTAAAAAATAATATACTAGCTAATTGTACACGTTACAATTCATTTATACAATTCAAGATTAATTATTTGTTAACTAATTATCAGTTGTTCATTTAATTTGATACTATTAATTAATTAAGCCATGCTCTTCTTAAACTTAAATTCTAGATGCGCCATGAGACAAAATGCCAAAATAGACTTTTTCAGAAGTAGAAGAGAATTAAAAAAAAAAAAGCCACGTTTCTTTTTAATTTAAAAGGATAAAAGGCTTTTACAAAATTAGGGTACTTATGCATTTAAAGCTAAATCTCAATTTGTTTGTCTTGTGCAATTCGGCCCAAATAGACCAACTTCGATCCTTGAATGATGAAAAGGGAGGGACCAGAGATGCAAAGACGCCAGCAGCTCCGGCGGTCCAAGAAGAGCGGTTTCTTCAAAATTCATATAGTACTATCTCTTATCCTTAATATAAGATTTTATTTGATTTTTATTTTAATCATAAATATAAGACGTAAATTCATTTTGTCTCTCGTATTTATACATTTTTTTCAAGGTAATACTTCTAACAATAATAGTTATAGCTAATATACCTGATTAGTAAGGATATTTTAAAAAGGATAACACATATTTATCATAAATAACTAACTTAACTTTTTTCCCTAATCTCCTCAAATTAGTCAATTAGCTCTTATAATTAGAATCGGAGGTAGTAGTATAATTTAGGTTTTTTGGCCAACATAGCAAGTTTAAGTTGCATCTAACACTTTGAATTAATTTTTTAAGTATGTTCGGTATCTCAAAATATTATGTGATTTACTGAGCATGCTTAATTTTTCAGCCACACTTAACACCAATTATCATAAAGTATTTACTTCAATATTTTTTATGGTGTTAGACACATAAAAAAAATACTAAATACTTTAAGATGATTGACATGCATGAAATATACTTTAAAATATTGAATCAACCATAACATATTTTAGAACATTAGATCCACCTTAAAGAAAATACTTTATATCAACTTTAACCCAGTATTGTAAGGTGGCGTACATTTTACAGGCATTCCCACAATCTTAACAATGGAATGATATTTTACAAGCAGGTTTTGAATGATGACTTACGGAGGAGGGGATAAGTACGTAATAGAAATTGTCTCATTTTACATAAAACGTGTTTATAAATAATTTCAATCATGCTTGGATTGTGGGTGAGCCCAATCCCTTTTTCAAAAATTTTTGTACCAAAAAAAAAATAATTTCAATCATTTTTCCAAACGGGCCTCTCAGTTTATTTAGAATCGTCCTTTAAAAATGGTTTTTTAATTATTATTTATGAAATAAATATGTGAGAAGAGTTTTGTTTCGATTTACATAAAATGACTTATAAGTATTTACGAATCAGAAATTCATACAAAAATTAATAGTATAGTTAGTTTCATAGGGGAAAGTCTCCACCACCAGAGGGTTACCTTCGCCTAGATGCAGATGGATCTGTGAATTCTCAAAGGCATGCCTCGTGTGGTGGATTGATCAGGAATTTTAAGGGAGAGTGGATTTTAGGATTACAACCAAAGCTTGGATGCATATCACCAACTTGTACAGACTTTTTAGGAATTATTCCTTTGTTTTTAAATATAAAACCTCTTTTATAGTATAATTTTACACTATAAAAGATGTCTTATATTTAAGATTAGAAGAATATAACAGGACTCCACATTTGTGAACAACAAGGCTTCAACAAAATTTTGAGGAGTACTAATTCTCTTGAAGCGATTCAATTACTGATGGCGGACTGTGGAACGGATCATCCGTTTAAACCTGAAATTAGAGAAGGGAGAGGCTAATCTACTCTGATTGGGAGATTGAGGTTAGGCATGCATTGCCAGAAACCTTATACTGTGCAGATTTTTTGGTTGAGGATGCTCACCAACAGGCGGAAGACATGACGCTGCTATGGGAACCGTATCCTGACTGTCATAGTCGTCTTCAAGCAAACTTGATGCCGTCTTGAGTTATTTTAGCCTAGCTTCTTTTGTCAAGTTTGTAACTTGCCCGGCTTAACATATACTACTTCCTGTACTCATTACAAGATGTCGTACAGGAAGTATTATATATAACCCCGCGCACCGAGATTTGTTAGGAGAGGAGTTGAAAGTTGAAACCCTGATGACCAAAGTGCCTGAAAATTTCAGAATCATGTGAACGCCGCCACGGTTTTCACGGAACGCAGCCCCACGTGAACATAATGCAAAATTCATAGCCTTATGCCCATCCACATCACACCACACCACCACCCGTGGGCCCCCCCTCTGCCCTGAATATTCAACTCCACTCTCTCCCCTTCTTCACCGTCCATTAGCCATCACAATCGCTTCGGTTTCCGTCTCAAAAATTTATCACGTGCTCAGCAGCAACATACCTCTTCCCCGGCGTCCGCGGGTACGGTATGTTTGTGTCTTTATATATATATATATATATATATCAAATAGGACACTTGCGATAAATACTTGAGATCACTCTAGTCAGAATTGTTCTACATCATTTGCTCGCGGTAGTAGTTGAGAAGGGAACAAGGGACCATCGAGCAGCCACTGCCACCAGCAGCGGAGGATCAGAACTCCGACGCACTGAACAGAGGCGTAGACGATTGAAATGGCGGATACTACAACGCAAGGAAGAGCCACCCTCTTCTCTCCTTACAAGATGGGCAAATTCGATCTCTCTCACAGGTCTCACTTCTCTCTCTCTCTCTCTGTTTTTTTTTTTTAAGATTCCTTTGACTCAATTTTTCAGGATTTGGGGAGACGAAATCGGCGATGGATTTTTGAGAAATTAACTGAGTCGGTGTTGTTGGAATTGGACAGGGTGGTGCTGGCGCCGATGACGAGATGCAGAGCTTTGAACTGGATTCCGCAGCCGGCGATGGCAGAGTACTACGTGCAGAGGTCAACTCCGGGGGGCTTTCTCATTACCGAAGGAACCTTGATCTCTCCCACGGCGCCAGGGTAATCCTTGTAATTTTGTCTACTTTTTGAGGTCTTTTTTAATTCAGGATCATCTGGTAGTGGAATCTGGAATGAATGAATTATTGAATTTCGTTCCTCGCTGGTCAAAGATGGTGTCATATGAAATGATAGTAGCCACGTGGCGGGATTTCCTTCGTCGTGATACCCACATTTTATAGTGGGATATGCAGGTGTCGGTGTCCAAGAATTTTTTGCTTTTTTTTTTTATGACTATCATGTTTTGATGTTTTTGTTTCATAAAATTTTTAAAGAAAAAAATGCAAGAGGTGACCAGTTTTTGTACAGCATATTATTTTCTAACTTTTGTAAAAAGATCCAGTTTTCTTGTCCATGCAAAATTTTGATGTCTTGCTACTCAAACCTGAAATTTCTTTCGCAATATTCATAAATTTTACTTTCAAATTTTGTTGGAAGTGCAAGCTGCTCTTCCAGAGATAGAAGGATAACGTTACTATCTCTACCCATGAAAAACTAAAATGATTGTTGCCCTTGTCTTTTTATATAATCAACATGCTTTTATTTTTATTAAACCCTAATCCCCCCCCAAAAAAAAAGAAAAAAAGGGACCAAAAGCATATTTAAACTTATTTATAGACACTATTTGACTATGGGCACTTTCAAGCTGTTTTCAAGTTTGACCCTAAAACCCACAGTACCACAAGAGGGAAAAAAGTTTTCCAGTTAAAATTTTCTTTTGGGTGGTGCAAAATTTTCATTGAAATTTGACTATTGATATGGAATACAACTTTGATGCGGAATAAAGTACATTTTACACACGACGTACAGTTAGACATTGGATTCAAAATGAAATGCGAAATTGGCTTAATTATGCAGATTTCCACATGTACCTGGCATATATTCAGAAGAACAAGTTGGGGCATGGAGGAAGATAGTGGATGCTGTCCATGCCAAAGGAAGCATTATCTTTTGCCAACTCTGGCATGTTGGTCGAGCTTCTCACTCAGGTAATAATTCCTAATTTAATTTATGATGATCTCCGTCCATTTAATCAGGAAAGTTTGAATGCTAGCATAGGTACAGGATACTTATCGATAAATGTATAGAGAGAGCTAGCCATAAGACAAAACTTCAAATGCTTACTTGTGGCCTGAAAGTGTCGCATAATGTCTTTCTTGTCCAGCATGATTCTCCATTTGTGCCTTATTTGTGGCCTCCATTTTTTGTGTTTTATAGGTCATACCAAATCTATGTACCTAATATATATATATATCTCTATATATCATAAAAAACCCATATAAAGCTATACTATTTGTAAGAGTAAGGGGCCGTTGGTATCTGATCTTCAATGGGGACAGTCTCACTTGCTTACACTTGGTTACTTGAACATTAATCATATGATGGATAAAAATGATAATCAAAATTATTTATTTTCTCCAACTACAAACCAAATAGGACATTTTGGGAGTAGATGGAGCTTAACCTTAAATCATTTGGTATTCATATTTATTTATTTTAAATTGCTAAGCATTTAAATGGACCAAACAAGTTACCCCGACACATCCCATATTAACAACTCAAAGTTAGAGAGAAACAGACATAAAGGGTGGCTCCACTTCTAATGATGTGCGTCTTATAGAAGGGAGTCCCACCCTTTTCGACGTAATTTGCACTTTAGAGGATCCAAATCTTATATTGACATGTTGTAAAGTATATATATGTATTACTTCCTTCGATCTTTTTTTAAACAAAGCCTTGCCAACTACTATCTTGAAATTAATGAAATTTGTAAGTATTAGTTAAATATAAAACATGTTTACAGCTTCTTAAAGCTACTCATTGATTTGTAGAGTTTTTAACTGGGGGAGGAAAATAGGATGGGAAAACTAGTAATTAAGCTAAGAATAAAAGAGATAAGTGTATTTTAAAAATGAGTTAAAAATATTTTATTAAATTTTATAAAGGGTCTTGTATGAAAAAAAAATCAATTGGTATGATGGTACAAAAAGGAGAGTATATCATAAACATTTTATGGAACTATTTTGCTAAATAGGTCGGAATTGGATTTTAAATTTACTTGATTATCCTTGCCCAACTCTGGTTTGACGTTATGATATTTCATATTTATCCTTGTCAGTTAGGAGGTGTTAGGACTTATCCTCGTTTTTCTCTTTCTACTTCCGAAACAGTTTATCAGCCAGGAGGGGCCCCGCCCATATCGTCCACTAGCAAGCCCATATCAGCGAGGTGGAGAATTCTCTTGCCGGATGGGTCCTATGGCGTGTATCCAGAGCCTCGAGCCCTGAAAACTTATGAAATACCGGACATCGTGCAGCATTACCGGCAAGCGGCAGTAAACGCTATTCGGGCGGGTTAGTTTGCTAATTTAATTATATACTTCCACATAAGAACTGTTCGCTTTTTAATTGTCATTCCCAACAATAATGACTATCATAGGCTATAGCTTATAAATTATCATTTGGCTGGGGACTAAAAATACTTCCTTCTCCATATGGTCCATTGAGTGATTATGAATGCTCCTCCGTTTTAAAGGCTCCATAATACCTAACGCGTCGAAAGTGTAGTCTTTTTCATGCTCATGGAAGTATGGTCCACATTGGGAAAAGTTAGCGCTCCTTTAGCCTAATAATGCATATCCATATCATTCGCTTCAAAGTGCACGATGATAATGAAAAGTCACGCTTACGATTATAAAATTCTTGCGCGTTTGTTAGTTCATATGATTCCTTTTTCTTATCCCAGAGCGGAGATTGCCTCAAAATGACCCTCCGGACAGAGACTTGAAATGATACTGTCCTCAGAGAGGCTTGATGCAACTTGGCTTCTTTGTCTTTTTTGGCGATAAACTTGGCTTCTTTGTCTAGACGCTGCTATGTCTTGGGTTAAAAAAACTAACTTTTGCTTGTGGACTGTTGAATTGAAACACCATATTAACTATAATTTTAACGACACTTCTTTGTTTGATCATGTACCAACACATTGACTCAATGCCATGTGATAAAACAGGTTTTGATGGAATTGAAATTCACGGGGCTCATGGATACATTATTGATCAATTTTTGAAGGATGGGATCAACGATCGAACAGATGA